AATCGCTTTCCCCCTTCGTGCGCACCCGCGGCACCCACGAGCACTTTGTTGTTTGATTAGCGGAGTTAAGCTGTTTGTTTTCCGTCCCCGGCTGGGTCCGCTGGCCTGGGCGCGGTGGGGGAACTTGTGTCCGCAGTGGCACCAGGCTGAGCGTGGTGGAATCGGGGTTGGTTTGTGGAAGGACAAGTGACAACCGACAGGAGATAACGGGGGTCTTCCTAAGAAAAAAAACAAGATATAAACCAGCTGCCTTAGGTAGTGATGAGCTGAGATCTGTAGAACCAACATAAATGCTCTGAAATTGCCCATTTGTTTGCAGTTGCCTTTACCTTACAATTCACAGCGGTGGGATGCGAATTTTAGAAGAAAGTTAATTTGTTATTTAATAAATCATGCTAATTATCCTTATAAGGCATCTGTCTCTGAGGTGAACGTGGGAAATTTTCTGTTCGGTTAGAAATAGGAACCTCCAAATCTTTTTGCTGTTTTTATATGCCTTATACTATAAACAAAGCTACGCTTAGAAATGCCTGTGAGGGGCTGAGTGCTGTATAGCAAGGCTACATCTCCCACCTTTAAAAGTATGCTTTTTGTGATATAAATATCCCAGCTCTGAGACTGGAACAATCTAGAGCAGCCACGGTGAGAATGAGCTGCTGTGAATTCTGCTAAGAGGGTCTGGGTTTTTTTTGTTAGGGTGGATATTTCGATCCGTGTTTGTACCTCTTTTCAGCCCTGACAGATTTAGCTGTGTCAGCAGTCGTGCTTAGAGGTGGGCCTGACCTTGCAATCGCCTGGAGAAGTGCCTGCCAGTTTCTTCAGACTTTTCTCTCACGCCTGCTCCACCCTCCTTAGGACTGGAGAGTTCTTCTCCGCTCCCTTCTTCCTCCTTCCTCCTCGTGTTTGAAACATGAAGGCCCTGCTTTATTTTTCCATCTGGTTCTTGCAGTTAGGGGGCACCACTGACAGTTCTGACCTGTCTGGCTCCGTGTGGGAGGTGTTGATTTGGGGAAAAATGTGCTTTAAGCTACTGAGAAAACTCCCTGGTTTTTTAGGGCTTCTTTTTTGTTGTCGTGTTAAATGTGGCTGCTGATCTAGATCGCTCATTTCTCCTGACGAGTGCTGCATAATCCTGTGGAACTGCAGTCAGCTCCTGGGCTTTTTTTATGCTGCTTGAGAGGCTCTATGTGGGCTTGGTGCTAAAGAGTTCTCTCTGACCTCAAATTCTTTGATAGACAATCTGTCAGCTCTGGAAATTCCAGGAGAGTGGAAGAAAGAGGATACAGTGCCGCTGCATGGTGTCTTTTCATGCACGTATAGCAGCATTTCAGCGCTTTGCCCCTCTCTTTTATACTTGTTAGCTGCCTGGAATTGAAAGATGCCGTTTTTATTGGGGTTTTTATGATTAATGCCTTCTTTTCCAGGGGTTTGCCGCCACCGCAGCAGCAACAGATGCTGAGCTTACGGGCAACAAATCAGCCTTCTCTGCTCAATGCCAATCCCATGCTTCAGCGAGCCTTACTCATGCAGCAGATGCAAGGTACTGTCGTTATGGGAAACGCTGACTTACTGGAGTTATTTAATCATCCTCACGGACTGAAAACATAGCATGGCTATTT